GAAGATGGTCACAAAGATTGCATTGGTCTACCTCTTTGAATGGATTCTATTCACTGTGATTTGATTTCACACGGTAGAGTCGAATTTGCGGGAACTTAATTTTGAGACACTACATGATCGGAATCATCTGTACCGTTCACCGCTCGCGTCTATCACATCCACCTCTCAGAGGCATCGTTTCAAGTCAGTGCTTCAGCCAGGTTGACTGGAATGTGGGGTAAATCTTTGGCAGTTAGCTTGTGCATCACTTGAAATGCACTCCAATCTCACTTTGTTTGTGCAGCAAGTATTTGATGGCTGAGGCGGAGACTTAATGAACGCTAGTAAAACCACATAAAACATTAGAAGAAAGTTGCAAACGTGATAACTTCACACACGCAAATGTATATGGTATTTCTCAAATGTGATCCTGAAGCTATTAAATCGTTTTATTCAAGTAAGTATGCCTCCATTTTAGTCAACTAAATAAGGCTGTGATCGGCCCGGTACACAAATCTGTCATATGGTTCATTTGTTCAGTTAAACCCTTGCTCCTTCTCCATAATTTGAAAACTATTATTATTATTATATGTTTGAAATAAAGTATCAATTTTCTTCCGTCGGTGATAAGTTAGTGTACCCTAACCGAATAGGGCAACTACGAATGGAATAGCACTATACATGTTTGTTTGTTTTAGCTCAAAAGTACAGACAAAGCACTAATAACCCAGTGAAGCTTTGTTCTAATGTGTTCGGAAATCGTCTTTTACTGCATTTAAATAAGTAATACTTGCTGTTCTCCGGAAAAACCATCCAAAGTGTGGATGCTTTTATTCTTCTCTACTGTGTATATCGTTTTCCGGAATGAACGAGCAGAACTTAACTGTACTGCTCAGGATCTACAAATATCTCTCTAGTTGTATCTATCTCACTAAGCTCATCTCAGTCGATTTGGTTGGCTTTGAGCATTTGGATGTATATCAAAAGTTTTCGTGATAGAACCGTGCACGTGATAAGTGCCATTTTTGCATAAGGAACTGGTGAAGTCGGTGGACCCCATATTTAAACCGCTGCTGGATTGATAGATCGTTTGCAAAACCATTTCTGTATTGTACCTTGTTCATACCTTGATTAGCCGTCCACGAACGGTTGTAATCCCTAACGGGAGACTGGATGCGCCATCGTTTGTGTCCCTTTTTTCCTGACACTATTCTTCGTCTCGTTGTCTTGTTGTTTAACTGGATTTTGCTACCATTTATAATGTAAACTTCTTGGAGTGATGCAAATTTATCCCTGGGGTACATGGAGCCTAGTTTGATTCGACTTGATAGATAGTGCGCGATTGTAACATGAAACAGAAGACGGTGTATCAGGAAAGTGGACCAAATTGAAATTTTGTGTAACCTATGAATTTTGATTGTTCGCATGTTTCACGGCTCTGTGCTTGCAAACGTTACATGAAACTGTGCTCTATGAACCCGGGTGTTAGTGAATGGCCAATGAATGTGTGGCACGGTGAAAGCGACCCAGAGGTTCCCTTAAGGCTGAGCCGTTCNCTGATTGTAGGCTTCGTCGTACTCCTTGCAGTTTAGTGCGAATCGTCCAGATGATACACATTCGTACATAATCCGGTATTCTTCTAATTACACGTGTTGCTTCACCGATCCCATCTTTGCGTGATACCCCCACATTTGGTCCGGTTGGTCTCAACAACCCCGAATCTGCCCACGAAAGCATTTCACTGTGTTAACAGCAATGTTCCCCTTACCTGTTACTATTGCAGATATTCAGAGTAATGAAAGATTCATGATAATAATACCAGCATTATGATAGGTATTGTTGTATAACTCACATTCATATTGTACCTCAACAGGAAAACGCTACTGAAATGTATTCGTGGCACAAAACGCGGCTGTGTCGTGACCACGCATTTCATCGACGAGGGCGAGTCGCTTTGTGATCAGTTGGCAATTCTGGTCAATGGCTGTACATTGTGAGTTCCCGGGACACAAAGCGGACCGAAAGCATACCATATGCTAACAATATGACACATGCGTTTTATCATATCATAACTCCGAATTGAAGAAACAGTCGAGCTACTGTTGTTGTTCTTTTCTCAGTGATTTAAACGAATGGTGTTTTTATAAATGCTGTACATGCCCCATCAGTAAAATAATAGAAGTACTATCAGTATCGATTCACCATGTTCTCTCGCCTCGATCAGGAACGTAACACATTTTGTTACGCTTATTGTCTTTGCCGTGAATGACATTGCAATAATTTAGGAAATATTGAAACAATTATTTCCCGAAATGAACTTGAACAAAGAACATAACATCAAAAGCGAGCACAATTGAATTCCGGAATCATTTTGCTGCATCTCAACTGGTACTTACTGCAGAAAAAATAGTTTATATATCACATTGCATGACAATTTAACGTGGTAGCAATTCATTCTTCCGCTNCAGTAGGGGCTTTTAGAGTTTGATTGCTATGGTCCGTGCAAATCTTAGAAGCCGTCTATTTGGGGTTGCGTAAACAATCGGAAACGAAGTCCCACGATCAACTTGGTGGCCAGTCTGCAGCAGATGGCGAGCAATTGATGATGCAGGTGCTCTGTGAGACTGGCTTGATGGCCTGGTTGTTTGTGTAGCGTTCAATCGCACCCGCTCGGGTTCAACCCCTACCGGTATGTGTTTAGCCACTCGGGTATGCAGGTGCCTCTCTGTTCTCCCCAGGTTTATAGCTCCACACCCACATTGAAAATCATAGATTACATGCAATTTGGCGGTGATTTCACCGAGGGCTTCGGAATCTGGGTTGTTGAGAAGCAAACGACCGGATTTGCAGCAAAATACGTGCGACCTACTGTCCCTACCAGCCGTCTTCGTATGAGTTGTCCTACATCATCACTTTTGAAAGAAGTTGAATGGTGACGTCGCATTTCGGTACTATCATCTCCGAGGGCTTTTTCGGCTTTTTCGCTGTACAATTGTATGAACTTTGATGAGTAGCCATTGCGTTTCAGAGCTTCCGTGAGCCGAATTAACTCACCAGTCAAGATGCAGTGAAATGATTCCGGAATTAAATTGTGTTCGCTAGCAATGTTCTGTTCGTTGTTCAAATTTAGGTAAAGACAGGTTCGGTAATCCAAATTCATTAATGACTCACTCAATATGTACTGCTGCTTATGGATAAAATACATCCCGTGACAACAGTACTGCACCCATTCCCTTACATTTTGGATTATCTCCTGATCCCCGATATGCGATCATTACTATGTTTGAGCATCCAGACAGCAAGCAAATAAAAATGCGAAATTTAATCAAATTCCTTTTATTTGAAAGAAAAGATATTAAAAAACAACTTTTCTTGCAACAAAATTATTATTACGATTGTGCAACTTGACCACTGAAGTCAGTTTTTACTACGGTCTCAAATTTTCTACAGATGTATTTTGCGTACTCTAT